TCCACCGTTTTGCAAACAAGTTTTATTATTTATTTATAAGAGGGAAATGTTTGGAAAAATATCAATATTTTGCGAAATTTAATTTAGGTAATATTGACTGGGTTTGAATTTTTTCAAATTGTTTCCATGCAATTTAGTTGACAAATTTAAAAACTGAACATATCCAAAAGTACAGCGTAGCCTGGCCGAAGGGTAGAGCTACCTTAAGTGAAATTTCCCCCAAACTTTGGGTTTCATCGCTGAAATTTTGGGTGAACATTCCTAAGGTTTACGATTATGCAACTGGAAACGAGCCCTAAAGTCACTCGATTTCAGAATTTTTCACTCACGGAGAAATATTCAATAAAAATTACGTATCTTTTCCCTAATTGCAGAGCGAAATGTGGTTGTAAGAAATTTTCCGGAATTGTCACGGAATTTTCCCGGCGCGTTCCGTAATGTTTATCTGAATCTCCTGTGAAAAATTACGATACCGTCACTTAAATTTTCTGAGTCGATTTCGTAATCGGTGAGTGATTTGTGAGATCCGTAATTTTAACTGAACATTTCTCTCCGTGCGCCTTAAATTTTCCAATGGCGCAAATGCCGATTTTTTTTTTATCGTAACAGTTTTTTTTCTCAGTGAAGGCTGAAGTCAATGAGCGATCCGAAAGTTTTCCACGAGCTTTCACCCAATATTGCCCGAGATTGCGTGGAGTTGATTCAGATTGATCCGATTTCCGTGATCATAACCGATCGCGTGGGACAGTATTGGCGAGACACTCGTTCGCCCACTTGGTTTTTTATGGCGTTTGTCGCACGCGAGTGTTAACATTGTTATGAGGTTTACGTTGTTTTATACGCGCTGCACTGAGTCATTTGTAAAAATAGTTTATTACCGATTTTCGTTGGATTTGGGGTCGAGGTGAAGTTTCATTGTATTGCAGATGCGAATTGATTAATATTCATGAAGTGATTATATGTGAATTGGTAATTATTGTTGATTTGAAATAGTTATAAAACGCGCGATTGATTCAGTTATCAAATAGGAGGAAGAGACACATGTACTCAAATTAAAGGGAGACTACTATGAGTTTTATAAGTCGTGGGTTATTGGAGTGAGACTTTTCATACGTTGAAGATAGATTATGTAGATCTGAAAAGGAATAATTAGTGAAAAAAAAAATTTTGTATTGTTCGTTTGCCCGAAATCGCTTAAAACGCTAATAAAAAAAATCTGCAAAAAATTAAAAAAAAAATTGAAATTATCTGAAAAAAAAATTACAAAGTTTCCTTTTAGAGGAAGACTGATGAAATAATAGAAATGGTTTAGTCAGAAATGAAGGGTCAGAAACTAAGAATCACGAGGGTTATATTGAGGGTCAGAATTAGGATCACGAGGATTATAATGAGGCGGGGCGTAGCCCCCTAGTGTCGTTATAATCCTCGCCTTCGCCTCGGATTATAAAGTCACATTCGCCAGATAATACTTTTATCGCCTGATGACATAACCTACTATTGTTTGATTTTCTTGATGAAAAGAAAAGAAAAATAAAATGAAAAAAACCTAGAAAATTTGAACTGCGGAAATTCTATAGAAAATTGCTTAATAGAATAAATTTGATCGAACAATCGCATTATATTGACTTTCTATTGAATATTCCAATAGAATTGGCCAAAAACTAATAGAAAGTTCAATAGAAATCCAATAAAATTGTTTAGCGAGTTCGTTAGGTTTTTCTATTAAATTTTTTTGAGTGTGGAATACACCACTAAAAATTGAAACTTCCTTTTCTATGCGATTCTCCCTATTCTAAAAAGTTCGTGAACATCACGAAGTTAATTGATATCGAAATATCTCAAAAGTTGTTGCATTGGTCGCGACGAAGAGCGAAAAGTCAGACATTAGTAGAATTTTGATTATTTAAGGTTATGTTTCACTCCATGAAGGCATGTGAAAGTGCCGCCATTTCCTTTTCCTCATTGACAACGAATAGGCCTTCGGCTCGGATTATAACCACATGAGTTAGATAATACTTTTATCGCCGTGTGACATACAATATTTTGAATCACGAAAACCGCGATCTGATCGAGTGAACCGAGGTTACAATCGCGGTTTATCGCCTAATGACATGAAGAAATTTAATACCTTCTTTAAGGCATCTGACAGATTTTTTTTAAACAATAAAAATAAAATTTCATTCAATTTTCTGATGAGAATTTTCATCCAATTTAAGCTGTATCGCGGTTTTTTTTTCAATTAGAGAAGAGTAGGTACTACATATTGAGCAGCATACACAGCTTAATTGCGTAATATCGTTAAAACGACGGTGGTAAAGCGACGAAGAAGCAACGATAAAAGGGACAATTCTTGAACCGTCACGAGAAGATATCTCGTATCTAGAATGCGAGAACTAGGTTAACGCGTAACAACAATCAAATCTCACAATTTTCCTCACAAAAAAGTAGTTAAACACGAGAGAACGTAAAAAGCATTCATATTTGAATTACTAAAATGACTGAAAGCTCCTCATTGGGTTATCCAAGGGATGAGAAAAATGATATTTCGCTCTTAACCGACTGTCGCGTTAAGATCACTTTGGCAATTCTGCGGAATGAGCCGAGTCCGGGAGTGAGATAACCGATTCATGCTCTAGATTTCCCTCATCATCGTCTCATTTACTCATCCCTTACGTCATCTTACGCATTTGGATTACGCAAGGTCGAGACCTTCCCCCCGATTAACCGCGCAATCGTTGACAATAAGTGGATGAAAGAGAAGACGATGTGGGATATGTGGAATGGATTCTTTATTGCTCAATAATTTGGGGAGGAATCTGCATTACCAATATCTTCATTTGGAGGGAAAACACATTTTAAATGGAAAATAGAAAGATATAATTTGACAAAATGATTGATTTCATTTAAAGAACAGGATTATCTTTTGAAAAATGTTTTTTATTACTTCAAATCATTCTTCATTTAGTGGAAAATAAGTATTCATGAAGTTCTTAGAAATGATTTGTCCTCATCCATTGACCTGTTTGAACTTTGTTAATTCAACCTGTTTCGGAATTATTAATAAAACTGTTAGTAATAAACAGAATGAGGTATTAACGAAATAGATGTTCTATTATTTAATTTATGAAGAGATAAAAGAAGAAAACTATTGTAAAGAAAAGTATGAATGAAAAATGAAAGTAATTGATTCGTTTCGTTCAAAGACCAGAGTAATTATTTGGAAAGTAATTCTTATTATATCGAATTAATTATAATTTATTGAAAAATAACTGTTCATGGATTTTTCTATTTATGATTCATTGTCATCAATTGATGTGTTTAGACTTCATGCAATGAAATTATTGATAGAATTCTCAGGAAAAAGATAATATGTGGAATATATCCAATAGATTCTTTATTACTTGATGATTTTATTACTTGATCTAGATAATCAGCATATTCATGTTCTCCAAAAAATTATATTTTTAGTGAAAAATATGCGCAGAAAATGAACAAATGAATACAGAATCATTATAGCAAAAATAATTTTTAACTCATCGAATCATTTTCTATTCATGAAAGAATAACTATTCATCATCTTCCCGTGAATGCTTCATCCCCGTCAATTAATCTATTCGACTTCCCTGTGATGAAATTACCGATAAAATCCTCATAAAATAATTTCTTGAATTGGAAAAAAATATTCCATCTACTCATGAATCTCAATTCTCTCGAGATTCATTGAGCCGATAGTAACCCTCATCAACACGAGGCGGAAAGGGGCAAGAAGTTCTCCACATCCATCGTAAATTGAAAATACCAATGTCGATGATTATAGTCAATAAATAAAACCAACTGCCCGATACTTGCAATTATCTCGCTGATTAGTCTTCCTTCCAATACATTTCAATGCTCAACCTGTCATGATCCCCATTATTGACCATATAAACATAAATTCAACCATTTCGTATTCGAAGCACTCAACAGAACGAAACGAGAAGTTATTTTACAATTGATAACGTCTATTTCTATCATTCGCACTTCCTGCCAGAACTTGAATACATCTCCCAAGTGTATCAGTGCTTGTTCTCTGAATGTGAAAACGAAATACCCGTACAAACACATTTATTACTGTAGAACGTGCGACGATAAAAGCTGGGGAGTATCGTTAAATGTTTTGGGAATACAGTGAGACTTTGGGGTCGACGGGGTCATGGGCCTTCATCATTCCCATCACGATTTCACTTCGTGCTGGAGATATATTTGATGAAAGTGCCGAATATTTTGGTAAACAGTTGTGCTTCGTTGTTGCCTGATTGACTGAAATGTTGAGATGTTGAATCAACTGCGGAAAATCTCTTCATTTCCGAAAATGAGAAAATTAATAAAAACATTCTGTTATAAATATTCATAGATTGAACTGCATTCCGAGTTGGTACAATAGTTTTGATTTTTAAAAATGATAATAATTGTAATAATTTTGTGCTGTCAAATGGAAGCTTTGTAATCGTTCAAATTTAACCCTTAAATAGTCACGCTTTTCTGGCATTCCACTCGCTCTATAGTGGCGCCCTATAGGTTGCGCATAGTTTAGCGGGGATTCCCCCACTTAAGGGTTGGGTTTGTAATTTTTTGTGGTTGATCAATCCATTGTGATACCAAAAGTCAGGAAATGTCAGGGAATGTCTGGAAGTGTTTCTTCCAGTGTTTACTGACAAATATATAGAATTTAATCATTTTGTTTTCAAATGAAGGAATTGATGAGCCCTCTCTACCGACTTTGGTTAAAATTCAATACATATTTTCATTTTTAGAATTTCCAAATTTTTAAAAAAATCGATTGTCTCACAATAACTGAAAAAAAATGTTCTGAATTAAACAAAATGACCGTTCGGAAGCATATTGCCCATTTCTACGCTATATGAAGATAAAAGTAATTTCCCACTTGTTTTATGATTGAATTAACGACGTGTTATGAATATAACTTTCATTTATTTAATCCGTATTTTTATCTTCCCCAGGAAAGCAACAACACAGCATGGATACGGAGTGGTAGAGTTCGTGGCGTGAGAGATACAAATGAGAGGGACCGAGGGGATATTGCGTCTGAAGGTGGAGAAACCGCGCCAAGCTCGTGGGGCGATGGAGGTACATCTTCGAAACTAAATAAAACCCTGTGAAATTCTATTGAAGGCGTATTATCAATGGAAGAAACCACAATTTACAATTTTTTCTGTATTATAGATTTCAAATAATTAAAAAGGTCTGTTCACCGTAAAAGAAAGAGAAACAAATTGAAAAATATGCCTCCATCAAAAAATTTATTCAAAAAATATATAAACCATATTTCATATATTTTTCATCGATCTGGTACTACTTATAATGTTTATAATAGTTCACTTGGTTGTATTTCAAACTTATAAGTTGCATCGTTTGAGAAACGTAGAAATTGCTTTGATGTCTTTGTCTACAATATTTATTGCATGTGAAGTGGACATAATTCGCGATTTCTTAAATATGTTAGGAAAATCTCTTGATATTGTTTTATATTATTCAAGAATCTTCGATTCACCGCAAATATCTTCGATTCGAGAATGGATATGCAATTTAGAATTGATGATAAAGCGGAGTGAAGGAATTTTTTCAGATCGAATTTTTTCTCCCGAAAATATTGATATTGACAGTAATATCAAAGTTATTCATGTAAGTCTCGCTTCGCCCAAACAATTTCGTTCCGTTCTGACACTCTTCCATAATAGATTGCAATTATGAGTAAGTGTGGTTGTGCCAGAATGTCTCACCAAACGTTTCAAATTGAAAATCTAAGGCCACTGGGATCCTATCAATTTCGTACACCCTCCATTAATTAAATTTTCACACACTCCAATTCTCCCGCATCCCCGAATGACAGGTCGATATAACCTACTGATGTTGCAAAATACAAAAGTAATTGCATTTTATTGCTGAGTAGATACTGATAATATCGAGGTCACAATTATTAAATTAAAAATGCTATTTGCACTTGTTCATATCAATTTTGGATATCGAATGGGAAAAGAGAGGAGCGACGAGTGATTCATTTTAGAGCCGTTCATCAAGCCAATGCATTGCTCTTCAATTTATCGAAATGGGGAATATATTTACCGATGTTCGAGTACTTTTGCCTTTTTTCGTCAAAATATTTTACAACACGTACGATACGATTTCGTACACAAACGCAGCGAATCCGCTAGAACATTCTATTGGATTTCTACTGAACGTTCTATTTTTTTTTGGCCAATACTATTAAACAATTTCGCAGCTTATCTGCGTGTTTTTAAATAGAAAATGTTCAACGGAAAATATTCTATAGAAAAAATCGATAGGATTTTCAATGAAATTCGTGGTTTTTGCATGAATTTTTTTCGTGCGTGATTATTTGTACTTCAACATTATCTTCTGTTTCAGTCAAATTTGATTTTAGATTGTATAACATATTGCAAGGATTCATCATTTGAATTTTGAAAGTCTGAATTTCTCTATATTAAGTCGTTAGAAAATATTTAAATAAAAGTCCACTTTTCGAGTTTTCCGAATGATTGGACTCAGCCAACGTCAAATTGATGTTACAGACTGCAAGAAAAAATAGAACTCTCTGCCTTTAAAATTCAGTAGCGAAGTGGTAAAAGGAGATAAGTCAATTTTGTTTATTGACCAGTTTTCAATCAATATCTCGGAATCTAAGGTAGATCGCGAAATTTTTGTTATAATCGTTTTTATGGAGCCGACTGAGTGCTACAACACATGTAATTACGAAAATTTCGCTATCTCCCTTAGATTCCGAAATATTGATTGAAAACTGGTCAATAGTCAAAATTGACTTACCTCCTTTTACGACTTCGCTACCGAATTTATCTAGACCTAAAATAATCAGTGATAATATATTCCATCGATTGGAATCCGTATGATCTATAATAATTTTTTATATGTATGGAATCATTACATACAATCAGAGAATTTTTTATTCTGATGTGAATAATACTTATTGTCTTCACAAAATGTGAATGGTTGCATTCAATAATCATTTACAAAACCGCTGATCAAGGTATCACTGAATTGTTACTTTAAATTTGCAAAAGCATTTTCAAAAAATCGAAAATGTATAGTGAAAAAATATTTCACTCCTGTTAGAAATTCGCAAATTTTTATTTTAGCATTAATTGTTATGGAGTCTGACATTCTTGGATCAAAAGCCAATTTGGAATCTAGAAAATACTCAAAATTATGTGAACCATCAGTATCATCATGTTGATACCGTACTACTGAAATAAAAAGCCCATTGAAGTATAAACAAATTCATAATTGCAAACTTTTCGGTTCAAGTATGCACTATGCTCACAATTGGCGACATGGGCACTGAAAAATTAGAAAATTATCACTAAAAATGTTCTGTTATTGTGAAAAGGACGATTCCCCAGTCTTTCAAAACTGATCACTGATTCCTACTCCAGATTCATATGAAGATTCCTTGAGGGAATCGTATAGAGGAAGATCAGAATACAATCAGAGCTACCCCTACGACCCTTACAACAGAGGAGGTGGTGGATACGGCTATGACAGCTCTCAGGATCGAAACCGTAACGATGGAAGTCGTGGAGGAGAGGTTTCTGGTCAATCCTATGGAGGCCAATCCGGTTACGGGAGTCAAGGGCAATCCTACAGTGGTCAGGGTGGTCAGTCTGGGTATGGAAGTGCTTACGATCAGCGCGGAAGAGATGGTTACAACCAGGGAGGCAGGGATGGTCATAGTCAAGGTGGAAGAGATGGTTATAGCCAAGGTGGAAGAGATGGTTACAACCAGGGAGGAAGAGATAGCTATAATCAGGGTGGAAGAGATGCCAACAATCAAGGCGGATATGGCCAGGGCACGGACAACAGATCTGGATCAGGAACAGGATCAGGATACGGTCAATATCCTGACAGCTATCAGGTGTACCCAGTACCCGGTGACAGGACTTCAAAAAACTGCACTGGTTCTGGCTGTTGTGCTCCCAAGTGCTTTGCTGAGAAAGGATCGAGGGGACCTCCTGGAATCATCGGTCCTGCTGGTCCCAAGGGTCAGGTTGGTTTTCCTGGTGCTGAAGGTTTACTGGGACCCAAGGGAGAGAAGGGAGATCCTGGCCCACAGGGACCTATCGGAATCAAGGGTGACAGGGTAAGTATTCATGCGTCATTACAAAGTTTGACAAATTGATTTTTGCAGACAGGTCGAAGGAATCATTGTTCTTTCGTAATTCGAGAATATTTCTTGATGCACGGAAAAAGAATATACCTGAATTGAATTGGGGGATCGATATTTCATTTCGAAGATTATTCTTTTTCCCGGATTTTATATTTTGACCCTTAAATGTAATATAAGGGTCAAAATATAAAAATAAAAAAAGTCGTCAGGTAATGAGGGTCTAAATATGAGTCATATATTATGCTTGATCACCGTTTTTAGCCCTTATATGAACCTCATTGCCTGACACATGCTTTTTTCACTTTTATATTCGCACCCTAATTTTTTTATCCTAATATTCTGACCCTTTTTTTAACCGTAACATTCTGACCCTCATTCCTTCACCTTTACATTCAAGCCCTCAGTTTTCGACTCTAATATTCCGACCCTGATTTTTTAACCTCCACTTTTTGACCCTTATATTCTCACACTTAGTATCTGACCCTTATATTACACTTGAGAGTGCTTGGTAGAACTCGAAATGATACGAAATAATCATCCTCAAATTGAAATACTCATCCCTCATTTAAATATAAAATATACTTGAATCAAGTATATTTCATTCTTAACTCAGGTTTATGCATATACATGATTCTAGTATAAAATATACTCAATTCAAGTATATTTGTTTCGTATCATTGAAGTATTAAGTAGATCCATATGGTTTTCAAATTTTCTGTCGTCAAAATTTAGTTTATTTGCAAAGTTCTCGAGAAATTTGTAAATAAATGGTGACTTCCAAATTTCAAACTACAATGGATTCTTTCACTTGTGAATTTTTGTTGTGATGCAGCAAATACGATTTTCAATTGCGTCAAGCGATTTGGTTTCCACTATGGGATCGATTTCTCATAAAATTCTGAATAACAATTAACCGATTTCACATCCGGTAAATGGCTCCGTGGTGGACTATGTATTGAATATAAATTGCTCATAAAAGGGGCCATAATAACATAACTATCGTCATTCAACCGTTTTCAATACATTCATTTTTTGAACGGCTGAAATTATCTGTTCAGGAGACAATAAAAGTGAATAATTGAATGGTTGCAAAGGTTTCCGTTAATTTCCATATGAAGAATTATGAGATGTCAACAATCTATTATATTCATTCAAAATAATTGTTAGACAATTCCCTAAGTAAGATAATTCCCTTTAGCCAAAATTTATTGTTTTGGTCTAGGGACCAATGGGATTCCCCGGATTCCCTGGAATCGCTGGTGTTCCTGGTGTTCAAGGGTATCCCGGATCACCTGGTATGCCTGGACGAGACGGTTGCAACGGAACGGACGTAAGTGCTGAAATCAATTGATGAGTCATGAGTCAGACAAAGATGAATGCAGAGTAGTTTGTTCTGAACTAGTTTGAATACTGTTGCTAGGGAGAACCCGGACGTCCTGGAGTTCCTGGAGAGCCTGGACCTCGAGGTTATCGAGGGGGTACAGGGCCGAAAGGAGATAAGGGTCAGCCAGCGTATGCAGGAAAATACCCCGTTGGTCAGAAAGGAGAGCCTGGCCTTGACGGAGTTAGAGGACCACCAGGGCAACCTGGACCACAAGGTCCACCTGGTTATCCTGGGCCCAAGGGTGATCGTGGACCATTTGTAAGTATTTTTCGTGCAGAAAATTGTCTTTTCATGGGTGGAAAAAAACAATTACTAAATTTCATTTTGAACTTATCAGATTTTTCTTCAGTTGTTCGGTGTACAGTGTTCATGATGTGATCTAGGATTGAATTTATATTCTCAGGGTGCTCCAGGAGCCCTAGGACCTAAGGGAGCAAAAGGTAACATGGGATTGGGATTCGAAGGTTTGAAAGGAGACAAAGGTCTGAAAGGAGAGCCGGGCCCTCCCGGTAGAGAGCCAGAATACCCACCGTTCACAGGAACAACGAGTACAGTTGGACCAACTGGTGAACCGGGACAAAAAGGAGACAAGGTAATAGAAGTTCTGAACTGTTTCATGCTCTGTGATTGATACAGAGGATTCATTTGTTGCATTATATCGAGTCTGCGGATATTTTTCTCGTTCCTATCACGTATATTGCATATATCATATTACTTCACGTTGAGTCTGAAGTCACTCATGTGTTAGACTATGACTATCTTAAATATCATAAATCTGTTGCCCATTCTTTGGTCTCGATTCACGCAAAAAGAACTGAATGGGTTTCAAAGGTACTTTTACTATTAGATAGTTTAAAGTCCCCAATCAACTTTAGGCTATAAGGTATTGCGCTATGGTGCATAATTTAGAATGCACCATAGAAAATTGTAGAGAATTTTAGAGCTCTCTGAAACTTCCTGGAAAATTCTAGAATATTCTAGAGATTCCCAGAATACCTTTCAGATTTGTAAAAAATTTGAAGATATTCGTGGGTTTTATGAAAAGTTCGAGAAAATCCTTTGGTTTCACGGAAAATACCAGGGATTTTCATTCATAATCATTGTTATTCGTAATTTTTGGTGCACAACGTCGCCAATATAAAACATTACTCGCACTGGAAAAAGATGTATAATATAACAGCTATGCTGTTCTTCCTTAATAAAGAATACTCATAATAATACTGGTCATCAGGATGCTTTCTGCAAGCATATGCTGTTGCTCATGATGTTAAATTAATTCTTACCATTCTTAGGGAGATCAAGGATTTGATGGACCCAAAGGAGAAATCGGTTTTTCAGGAGATGCTGGAGTGCCCGGTTCTCACGGTGGCAAGGGAGAAAAAGGTCTCCCTGGAGCTCCAGGTATTCGAGTGAGTATATTTGGATTGAACTGATTCATTAGGGATGTAATAATGGGTAACGCGTAATCATGCAACCTCAGCCAAACATTATCCTTTACTCCTTCTTGCCAGTAATCATCTCTGATAATGAGTGATCATGACTTGTTTCAGGGGAGAGATGGTTTCTCTGGTCCTCCTGGCCCTCCAGGACGGAAGGGTGACCGTGGCATCGATGGATTAGACGGATTGCCAGGTAGACATGGACAAAAAGGAGAGCCCGGACTTGATGGACCTTCTGGGGTGACTGGTCTTCGTGGACCTCCTGGACCGCCAGGAGTGAGTACATTTTAGTTTAGATACCGGAGCAAAATTCACTCCTATTTAGAATGAATTCGAAGAGTCTTCAGTGGAGAATTCCTCACCTATGGGAGGGACCTCTCGATATTTTCCTTAGATTCATTACTGCTTATTGAAAAATGATCGTAAAAATTGATGAGTAAGAAATGACTAGTAAGTCAAATGATAAAAAAACATATTTAACGTATTACTTTTTCAAGTGATGAGTGCCAAGCTGTGATACCCATTGCATCATATCTCAATAACTCTTCATATCTCTAGGGTGGCAAAGGACAACCGGGTCCGCCCGGGCCAATCGGACCCAGAGGATTTCCAGGGCCAGTAGGACCTAGAGGTTTGGACGGTTACCCTGGAGAGCCCGGGCCACGTGGACCTATCGGTTTAACTGGTGGTCCCGGTCTACCCGGTATTCCTGGAGCTGAAGGAGCACCTGGCGATAAAGGTATTGCCAATCATTCAATCTAGTCTCATCCTCGCAGTTTCAATATGATTGCTTGTCACAATATTTTTTTCCGTCGTCAGGAGTGAAAGGAGAGCCCGGTCTGACGGGATTCCCCGGTGAAGGTGGACCCAGAGGATTTGACGGCCCTCCAGGACCTGCTGGGCCTCGAGGACCTCAAGGAGACAAAGGATTTTCGATTATTGTAAGTTTTAGTTTTCAAATAAGGGAAGGATTTCCAAATTTGAAACCAAGGTGGTGATTTTTCTCCGAATTTATTTCAAGTTTTATATTTAAGAAGATCATACATCATTTACGATAACGTTCTAGGGTCCGAAAGGAATGGATGGATCTCCCGGTTTAGATGGTGCAAAGGGTCAAAAAGGAGAACGCGGTTACGTTGGAGTTCGTGGACGACCCGGCGACTCGTTAGACGGAATCCCCGGTGCTCCCGGAGTTCCTGGTTTACCAGGAGAAGCTGGACTTGCAGGCAGAGATGGCAGTCCTGGTTTTCCCGGTGAGCCCGGTGAGAAAGGAGACATTGGAGGTCGCTGTTCAGACTGTGTCCCTGGATACCCTGGTGTAAAGGGTGACCGTGGATTTGATGGAACACCTGGATTGCCGGGACCGAGGGGGCCACCTGGGGAAAGAGGATATCCAGGAGAGGCCGGAGCTGACGGATTGCCGGGACCGATTGGACCCCCTGGACCAGCTGGGAAAGATGGGATTAATGGACTTCCTGGACCACAGGGCGAACCCGGTGCGCCTGCGTTCATCACAGAAAACATGTTGAAACTGGAAAAGGGTGAGAAGGGAGTGCGTGGAGAGCCTGGAAGACCAGGGCCTGTTGGACCAGAGGGACCCATTGGAGAGAAGGGAAGACCTGGGTTTGAAGGATTCCCGGGTCTTAAAGGACAAGTGGTATGATAATTTGATTTCCACAGGCTAAATTAATTAAGGAACAGTGGTTATCTTTCTCCTCTTTTGTTATCTGTCTTTCATTTTCACCCCTATAGAAAATATATATATATGAATCCTATATAATCCATACATGTCGGACATGAATATATGCCAAATATAGAATACATATGGCGGTATATGTGAAAATATGGTAGATTGGCCGTTGATTGTATATGAATTATAGATTCATATACATTAAATAGACAAACAATCATTATTATGATATACGATTTCATATGGAACAAGCATATGATGTATCCGTGGCTTCTAATCAATGCGAACACGCCTTCCTATAACCTATCAAGAAGCAAGAAGAATTGGCGGGAAAATTATTCGATCTAATTAGTTACACGAATGCATTTTTAGGGTGATCGGGGATTCCCAGGACAAGATGGAACCCCCGGTAGACCTGGCGTGCCCGGACGTAAAGGAGAGAAAGGATCAAGTATCAAGGGTGAAGCGGGTATACCTGGACGCGATGGATATCCGGGACCAAAAGGAGAACCCGGACCCTATGGCGAGAAGGGAGCGACAGGTAAAACATCGATAGCGTCCACCTTCCAGGCAGTAACCTACATTGTACTCATTTCTGATTTTTCTCGTAGGTCAATGTCCACCAATTAATTTGGAGAAAGGTTTCAAGGGAGATCGTGGAGCTCCTGGAGAGAAAGGAGAACCTGGGCCTCCTGGACGTGATGGACCTCCTGGACTGAAAGGTTTACAAGGACTTCAGGTAAGCAAAATATTTACATTATCACAATCTCGGGGATCAAAAGGGTTCTGCGGACTGGTCCATACCCTGATCACGAAGAAAGATGAATTTTGTACCCTCAATTTAAAGAATAATGATGATTATCTTTGTAGGGACTAGAAGGACCGACCGGACCGATTGGTGCCCCGGGGCCAGTTGGACCTCGTGGATTACCAGGACCACGTGGTGAGAAAGGAGATATTGGACCCATGGGGTTCCCTGGTGAGCCTGGACAAGAAGGACCACGAGGGTTCCCTGGCATACCAGCGCCGAAGGGAGAGAAGGGAGAGCCGGGATTGTCGATGAAAGGAAGTCAAGGGTTATCTGGACCACCTGGAGAGAAGGGAGAACGAGGTCTGCCTGGACCACCTGGAAAGGAAGGACCTGCTGGATACTCTGGGCTACCTGGATTTACTGGGGAAAAAGGTTTGGCACACGTTGCAGATCAAAATCTTACAGACTTTAGTTATCTCTAATGAAATGTGAAAGCTAAATTCACAAAAAAGAGTCTAGACTAAAGTCAGTCACATTCACCCATCTCCTTTTACTACTGAATTTTCACAACTCAAACAGTCTAACTATTTTCTTACCGCAATTACTTAACAGTAACTTCCCAGTGAAATTTATGAGTGACTTGCTGACATTCAGGTGACATCGGTAGCCCTGGAATAAACGGACTCCCAGGTGCCCCAGGTGAGAAGGGAGATACTGGATTGACAGGGCCTCCTGGACCACCAGGAGTAGCAGGTTTCCCAGGCGTTGATGGGGCTAAGGGTGAACCTGGTCTGACTGGAGAACCCGGCCGTGCTGGCCTCCCTGGGTTCCCAGGTGCCAAAGGAGACCGAGGCGAGCCTGGTATCGATGGCCCGAAAGGTTATCCTGGACGCAGAGGAATTCCCGGAGTCGCTGGACGTCCTGGATTGGAAGGATCAATCGGACCGAAGGTAAGTCTTCCGCACTAACCCTCATGTCATCATCACTAGTCATTCTACTAGACATTCTTTCACAAGTTTTATGGAAATAACTGAAGAATTGCTGAGTCGATTGTTTTCATAAAATAATTAGTTCCAAATTACAAGACTCATCGATTGCAAAAAAAAATTTAATCGCTTCATTCGTTCGGGGACTAGTCCCGGTCTCGTGCGCAGCTCTAAGTCGTTGTAATTTCACCCGACACTGCGCATAAAATCTGTGTTCTGAACAGAAACAATTCTTCTCTGAATAAAGGGTGAACAAGGTGAGAAAGGTCCATCAGGTTTCCCCGGTCTCCCAGGAATGGAGGGTAAGCCAGGTAGACCTGGCGTTCAAGGACCAAAGGGTGATCGTGGATTCGACGGATCTCCTGGACTGCCAGGACCAATGGGATTAGATGGGCCGAAAGGAGATCACGGTCAGCCTGGGTTCCCAGGAAGAAAAGGAGAACCTGGTAGTGTGTCTGATAAGGGGCAAAAAGGAGAGCCAGGCATGCCTGGCATTCGTGGACCAACAGGTCCGCCCGGAAGAGATGGGGTTGATGGGGAGAAAGGAGAAGCTGGCAGACCTGGTTTCGCTCGTGACGGATTTCCGGGGCTCAAGGGAGAACCTGGTGAACGTGGACTCGATGGGTTGCCTGGATTGCAAGGAGACAAAGGAGACACTGGGGTGCAAGGGTTCCCTGGAATGAAGGGTGACAGAGGATTTCCTGGACCTTATGGTGAACCCGGCAAACCTGGTCTGGACGGTCTTCCTGGAGAGCCTGGGGAGATTGGGCCACATGGTCCTCCTGGATACCCTGGGATCAACGGGGAAATTGGACAGCCTGGTAGACCTGGTTTGGATGGGGTCAAAGGTGACGTGGGACCTCAGGGATTGGACGGATTGCCTGGGCTACCTGGATCTTTCGGCGAGAAGGGAGATCGAGGTCCTCCTGGCCCGACGGTCAATATCAAGGGGGAGAAGGGAGAACCTGGATCGCCGGGATTCCATGGACTGGATGGAGAAAAGGGAGATCGCGGATTTGAGGGACAAACTGGGTTTGAAGGAGCCAAAGGAGACAGGGGCGCACCTGGACCGATGGGCAATCCAGGAGCCCCTGGTGCACCTGGACCTAAAGGTAAGCTTCATTGTAATTCAACTGAACTGACGGTCCATCGATGTTTTTACTGATCGATACGAAATTTGATTTTGGGATAATATCAAAATATAGCGCATGACCAACCTTTTTCGATAGTGGAAATTATCAATTTTGAGAAGAAAACAATCCAGAAGATTGATTAGCTCTTGACGTTGAACTTTACTACGCAAAAGACTATTGGAAGATATCGGGTCACTCTTAAAAGTGTAATCTAAATATAGCCCTTTGGAGAAGCAAATTGAAATCAAGGGGCTCATTACCTACTTCAGCTTTTTATTTTCACTCACAAGTAATCTAGTCAGTTTCAAGAACGGAAAAACGATTACACTGACTCCCGGGGTATTCCACTCTTGTAACAAGACAGACCTTCAACAAGCTTTTCAATTTCCTACTTCAAATACGCTTTACTTCAAAGAAAGTCTATCGCCATTAACTTTTCATGGTTCCCTCTCCCGGGTAAGCGAACTTCAGCGAAGTTTTTTCTATGTCAATATAATTGCGCCCATCTTAGAGTTGATCATTCACGTGACGTGAATCGATTTCCGCAACGAAAATTACGTAGTAATTGAGCTGTTCACTTCGATGCAATTTGGTTCGTTCACGTCATGTCCTGACAGATCCCTTTGATGTTAATGTTGACTTTCTCATCCACTTTCTCCAGGCGATCATGGACCCACCGGTGCTCCTGGTGGCCCAGGTCAAACGGTGAAGGGAGAAAAGGGTCTTCCAGGACTTCTCGGCAAGCACGGACGCGATGGTTTCCCCGGAATTCCAGGAGATAAAGGAGAGCCAGGTTTCCCAGGTTTACCAGGACCGAAAGGAGACGCTGGAACGTGGGGACCACCTGGACTTCAAGGGGAGAAGGGTGAGCCTGGTCCGATCGGTCCAGAAGGACTTCCCGGACGTAGTGGAGAGCCAGGATTCGAAGGCGCCCCAGGAATTCCTGGAGAGAGGGGACCCAAGGGAGATCAAGGACCACCTGGAGTGTTCGGAGGAGTTGGACAGAAGGGAGATCGTGGACTTTCAGGTAAATTCATCATCTGTTTGGAAATATTTTATGTTAGTCCCTTTTGACAATACGGGAATTGATTAAATAATTCGAGGCCTGATTCAGTTAAACCTTACGTAAGGTTTATTTTTGATTCAACTGGATGAAACGAATGTCGACGTTTCAACCTAAAATTCTGAGGACCTCATCAAGACTTGAAAAACAAGTGGATGCTTGCATTTTTTTAAATAAATGAGTATTGTTATTGTGGCAGATAAATTGGCAATTCGCTTCCGAATGAATGCTCATTTTTAATTCGTATTTCACTATTCTCTTCTATTTTGTCGTAGTACTATTATAAATTATAAATTTTATCAAAATTTTGCGTATTATTTCGTTCTGTCAAATAATTCTACATTCAGACCGTCTCAAGACTCGAACTCGTTTTCAGTCAGGGATAAATCAAGGTTCTATCAAAAAACTTCTAACTGTCGTTAAAAATTTCAACTGAAAAAGCTTTAAAGCTACATAAAAATTCTGTATATTCCTTCAGGGACGAATTAGTAAATATCTTGAATATTTAATTCTCTATTTCCAGGTCCATAAGGCCCCGAAAAATGTTGAAAATTGGGAAAATTCAGGCAACAACTTTTCTCAATTCTCAATCTATTGAAAATTCAATTGCATCTAATGTTTAATTTTGGCAATGACTTTAAAAATCAAGCTTTCGTTGAAATATTCATGATCGCTCAATATGAAAAACCCAATTTTCTTAAATTTTCAAGATAAACGATGAATTTCATGAACATTTACACTTGAAATTAAATTCAAACTCACAACATTGAGAATTCAGATGACGCAGTGACTGAAAGTTTAAAAAATTTCTAACAGTGTAGGGCGCATCGTTCGAAAGATCAAACATGCATCGAAGTAACCGATCGACCCATTTGATTTATGTAGGTCCACCTGGATTGGACGGTATACCCGGAGAAAAGGGTGACAGAGGATTCGACGGTTCACCTGGTGCGCCAGGATTTCCGGGCGAAAAGGGAGACCGAGGATATCCCGGGCCAACCGGATTGATAGGAGCTATTGGTTACGTCGGTATCAAGGGAGATAAGGGTGACGAGTGTGTCGAGCCTCCAATGGGACCAAAGGGAGATCGTGGATATCCAGGTAACAGATCTACTCTCCAATTACCAATTTACTTAATTAGTACTCTCTGTATTTCCCCTTTCCCCAGACGAAACAAACATTTTTGTCTAACAAACATCGAAATTCATCACTTCTTGGTGAATTCTGTTCAGATAAATTTCATAATAGCTGATGTCACGAATTATGTTATTTCATTATCAAACTGTTTGTGCACACGACAATGATCGTGTTTACTTATCTTTTCGATATGCTGAACCTTGTGAATGCGAAATTCAATTCAACTCTGCATTAGAGACCGCTCCAGTTAATCGATTTTCTTCAACGACAAAGAAACAATGCACCTTGAGAGCTCAGAGGCTCTATGTTTGATTTGCCTGGAGACACAATAGCGTGTCTTTGTAAACGTAAGACGATTAACGCGAATAGTGCTCAAACGGAATATTAACAAGACTGCGAAAACCCTTAATTATACTAATTTGAATAGTTCAAAGTGAAAAGATAGACGCCTCGAGATAGCATGTTCATAAAATCATTCTCGGGATAAAGTGAAAATTTTCATCTTTTTGAAAAGCGGAATAACGCCAATGTCCCAGTTAACGTTACTAGAGCTTTCCGTGTCTTCAAGGGAAATCCCATAATTATCTAGTCTTCATAATTCCAAATGAATAATTAAATAAATCCTTATTTTTTAAAATAGAAGGCCTTCGATAGGTGGCAGTTTCTGAAAAATAACGCACAGCAGTTATATTATCGAATAATAATTAACAAAATGACATTAGATGATCTACACAGCAAAATAGAATGTTTGAATTTCACACACCTTTTGTGGACATTTTTCAGACACTGAAAAACGTTTGAATAAAATGAAAATGTGTCTGAATGTCAGATGAACAAATGCCCAAATATCTTAATTCATGTTTGAAATTCAGACAAATTTTCATTTTATTCAGACGTTTTTTAGTGTATGAAAAATGTCTACAAAAGGTATGTGATATTAAGACATTCGTTTTTGCTGTGTATTAAGCGCGAAATAAATCGAAAGATAGTATATATTCTCCCATTATTATAAATATAAACTGTCAAAGATTCTGATGGGCTAGATTCTGATAGGTTTCTCTCAAATATGGGTGGCAGAAATAGGAACATAGGTAATTGGTAGGGGGTATCCCAGCAAGTGCCACTTTTGGACCGATCGCAGATACTTTAAAATTCAATTCTGTATATTTCTGTTTTGAATAGAAAATTCCCATTACACCAAGATCATTTATTCATTTTTTTTCTGTAAATTTTAAATTCGATCGAAAAGACGTTCTTTTCTTTTAAGATAATTGAATCCGAACAATAATCGGTGAAAAGTAATTTTTGATGGCATTGCTGTGATAACACTATAGGTGTTCCATTTTTATGTTTTTCACAGCGAAAACCAAATCAATGTAATCCTTTTTCCGTGTACCATCATATTATTTCGAAGTCCTTCATTAATTCAAACTATTGATCCCTTACCCGATTACTCGATTCACTTTTGGGGTAGAATTTCTCATCAACGTATCTAACTTATTGATTCAAATGACCTTTCGGTTCCCTGCGCACTCAATAGATATCCCCAATGAAAATGTATATTCTTCCAGGATCTCCTGGAGCCCCCGGACAATCCGGCGAAAAAGGAATGGAGGGTCCCCCAGGTTTCCCAGGTGCTCCCGGTCCGAAGGGAGCAGCAGGATACTCAGGTGCACCAGGTCAGCCAGGTCTGCCAGGATTAGCCGGGCCTGTTGGTCCCCCAGGGCTTCCAGGTCTCGAAGGACCTGCAGGTATTCCAGGGCCCAGAGGAGAGCCAGGAGCTCCTTGTGAACAGGCTTCAGACTATCTCACCGGTATTCTCCTGGTCAGACACAGCCAGAGTCAGAGCGTACCCTTCTGTGAGCCCGGTCACATTAAACTGTGGGAGGGATACAGTCTTCTGTACACAGACGGAGACGAGAGAGCGCATTCTCAAGATCTAGGTAAATATCGTCTTGTTTGTCTCAACACTATGTCATCATTCACACCAATCGGTCAATGCTGCGACCTTCATGGGATAATTGCGAAATGTCCGAAATCATGCATTTAGTAAAATTCCAGCTGTTTATGGAATTCACCTAATCCTTCAGAATTAATTCCTCAATTCCTATCTTGTTGCATAAATTGAGAATCTCTTGTAAAACAGGTTATGCTGGCTCGTGTGTAAGGAAATTCTCCACTATGCCTTTCCTCTTCTGCGACGTTAACAACGTGTGCCATTACGCCAGTCGAAATGATCGCTCTTATTGGCTGTCTACCAATAGTCCGATACCCATGATGCCTGTGGAGGAAACGGGTATTGAGGAATATATCTCTAGGTGCGTTATCGTTTCACTCGTCAATAAGGGGATGTGTACATTTATGGGACAGAAATGATGATAATAATCTGAGAGACGCTTTCTGGCTATTTTTTCTTGGAATTGAAAAATTGATTCGAATTTGACATGTTTCATGAAAATTGAGATGACGGTGTATGACGTTTATGTTTTCAAAGCAAGATACTAGATAATTGACTTGTCTCGAATCTCATCCTTTGGCAAATCGGTACTCAATTATATACACAATTAAATTCATATGAACATGTTAGAGGAAATTTATTTGTTTCATATAGAGGTTAAAACTCAAATGAAGATTACAGAATCACTAGTCGATTACATATTCATTTATTCATTTTTCTGGTCATTGTTTGAGGTTAAAAATTCATTCGAAGTCGTGATGTTTCATGAAAATTAAGATAAGGATTTACGACGTTCATGTTTTCGAATCAAGATCTTAGCTAATTGATGCGTCATCTTATCGAATCTCATCCTTCTGCCACTCTCAACTCAATTATATACACAATTAAATCCATATGAACATGTAAGAAGAAATTTATTTGTTTCATAGAGGTTGAAACTCGAATGAAGATTGCCCAAGATCATTGATAATACTAGTCGATTATATATTCATTTATGTGTAGATGAATGAATTTCAAATTTCACATAATCTCGAACTTAGGTCTAATAGAACATTAGGACCTTTTACCCGTCCGAACGTATTTGTATCATTCCATTCTGAGATTTAAAGAAAGAACTATAAGGCGGATCTGCTGGAAAAACTTGCTATTCCAATGAGGGGATGTAATCATTTATGTGAAGGAAATGACAACATTAATAATTTGAGAGAAGCTTTCTGGCAATTATTTGGCATTGAAAATTCATTCGAAGTCGTGATGTTTCATGAAAATCAAGATAATAACTTACGACGTTCATGCTTTCAAAGCAAGAGCATTAATAATTGATAGCACTCGCCAAATATTTATATTCATTTATGTAAATATAAACTAATTTCAAAGTTTGCATCATTTCCAACTTACACTGAGAAAAAAAATTACTTTTGTCAAGAACCAGGCCAGTCATACATTCTGAGGTCTAACAAGCGAACTATAATGCGGATCTGCTGGAAAAAATCGCTATTCCAATGAGCGGATGTAGTCATTTACGTGACGGAAATGACGACATTAATAATCTGAGAGGAGCTTTCTGGCAATTGTTTGCAACTAAAACTTCATTCGAAACTTACGTTTCGTGAAAATTAAGATAATAATTTACAACGTTCATGTTTTCAAAGCAAGATCCTAGATAACCGACTCGTCAACCTCTCGAAACTCATCCCTCTGCAACTCTCAACTCAATTATCCACCCAATTAAATTTGGTATTCACCATTTGTTGACAGATGCGTCGTTTGCGAAGTACCAGCCAATGTTCTAGCAGTTCACAGTCAATCCCTCAGCATACCAGAGTGTCCCAACGGATGGTCTGGCCTGTGGATAGGCTACAGTTTCGTTATGGTAAAGGATGTTCTGAAACTTTTGAATCAACCTCAATCTCCGTCTCTCAATCTCATTTCTCGTTCCACCTCAGCCATTACTTCCATTTGATTTTATTTCACTGACACATGATTTTTTTCTCTCTTTTCTCTTCCCTTCCCTCCTTAGCACACCGGCGCCGGTTCTCAGGGTGGCGGGCAGTCACTATCGAGCCCCGGCTCCTGTCTGGAAGATTTCCGCGCAACGCCCTTCATCGAGTGCAACGGTGCAAAGGGACACTGCCACTACTACGCGAATGAATTCAGCTTCTGGATGGCAACAATCGAGGATAGACAGCAATTCCAGAGGCCCGAGAAACAAACACTCAAAGCTGGTAACCTAAGAAGCCGAATAAGTCGATGCCAAGTTTGTATAAAGAATACGTAAGAGAATATGATACAACAATTATTGTAAAACAATTTGATATTTCTATTTTCCTCTTCAAAATTTGTGAACAATGTCATTCATGGATTCTCAACGAATGAGACAATTGTGGGAGTGGGATTATCGAGGATTTTGAGTGGATAAAGAAACTCACTCGAGACAACAATTTTTTTTCGCCTGCAATGTTTTCTCCAGTGCTTTTGTAGCATATCTTTTAGCGAAGTAACCCCAGTGTTTTTGTCAGTTTTGAAAGGAGCTCCAGCGAGACTCAATTTTCAATACTCACGTCGTCGATTCTACTCCAGTGAGTTCATCTTTTTCCCCTTCAACTCACTCCTCGTTAACCCATTCCACTTTTATTTCAACTTGCCGAAAAAAAAACAAAGAAAACTTGGTCTTTCACTCATCTCACTACTCTGTCCTCTTTCTCCTCCCCAAATGTGTTTTGTTTTTTCCACCTTACATTTTTATAACTATACGACTAAGTGCCTAGCAATACTATTTAGCATGTAAAATAATATATATTTATATCGTTAAATTTGTACGAAGTCAATTAAAAGAGCAAAATGAAGATGAGAAATATATGCTTTATTCGGATAATGAAAGAAATTTATGTGGAGCGAAAATACTACCGACACTGCCGATATCCAATATGGCAAATTTTACATATTGTATATTAATGTAATGAGAAATTTTTAATGAACAAATTTGTAGCCCAATATGTACGCGTGAAGCCAAATATTTAAGTACATAGGTATTTTGCTACATAGCCAATAAAAATTATACTTCGAAGACTGTTATTTTTTTTCCTGTCCGAATTGTGTTTGCATGCAGCTGATTTTTTAAAATCTTATTTTTATATGCGAATAAAAAAATTGAATAAAAATTACCTAGAAAATCATAGCAAATTTTACTGCACGAACGATAATCGTGGAGCGAAATGTAATTCAATGGAAAAAAAACGACTGGGTTGTTGATCGCTCGCTTCGCTCGCTCCCATTGCGGGTAGCTTGGAGTGGGTGCGATGCATTACGGGTCGAACCAATAACTTCCCGACCAATTGCCTTTTCTTCATTCATTAGAATTAGATTATTCTATACAACTTAAACTATTGAGCTATTTTCCATGGAATTTCCTCGACTCAAATTTTCCAAGTTTTTTCGTTTGATTTTCCTAATGAAAAGAAAAGAAAAATAGAATCAAAAAAAAAATAATGAAAAAAATAAAGGCCATGACTATTCGCACCATTGAGTGAATCACTCCCGTACACTCCATACACTCCACGCATGCGTGAAGTTTGTGTGTTTCATGCAGCCGAATTGTCATACTGCTGTGTATTTCACTTTGGTTTTTCGCGATTATCTCGGAAGATATGAGAGATAGAGCCTTAAAATTTATTCCATTCGATTCCTGAGGAAATTTGGGTTCCGTATAGGCAGATGGACAGCTCAGAATTGGGTTTTTCCACTTCCTACGCCTTATACAAGATGAATTAAATTAATTTTTTTTGGCACTTTCGTTTTTCGCGATTAACTCGGAAACTATGAGAGATAGAGGCTTAAAAACTATTCCATTCGATTCCTGAGGAAATTTTGGTTCCGTATAGGCAGATGGACGGCTCAGAATTGCGTTTTTCCACTTCCTACACCCTATACAAGATGAATTAAATTAATTTTTTTTGGCACTTTCGTTTTTCGCGATTATCTCGGAAACTATGAGAGATAGAGCCTTAAAACCTATTCCATTCGATTCCTGAGGAAATTTGGGTTCCGTATAGGCAGATGGACGGCTCAGAATTGCGTTTTTCCACTTCCTACACCCTATACAAGATGAATTAAATTAATTTTTTTTGGCACTTTCGTTTTTCGCGATTATCTCGGAAACTATGAGAGATAGAGCCTTAAAACCTATTCCATTCGATTCCTGAGGAAATTTGGGTTCCGTATAGGCAGATGGACGGCTCAGAATTGCGTTTTTCCACTTCCTACACCCTATACAAGATGAATTAAATTAATTTTTTTTGGCACTTTCGTTTTTCGCGATTATCTCGGAAACTATGAGAGATAGAGCCTTAAAACCTATTCCATTCGATTCCTGAGGAAATTTGGGTTCCGTATAGGCAGATGGACGGCTCAGAATTGCGTTTTTCCACTTCCTACACCCTATACAAGATGAATTAAATTAATTTTTTTTGGCACTTTCGTTTTTCGCGATTATCTCGGAAACTATGAGAGATAGAGCCTTAAAACCTATTCCATTCGATTCCTGAGGAAATTTGGGTTCCGTATAGGCAGATGGACGGCTCAGAATTGCGTTTTTCCACTTCCTACACCCTATACAAGATGAATTAAATTAATTTTTTTTGGCATTTTCGTTTTTCGCGATTATCTCGGAAACTATGAGAGATAGAGCCTTAAAACCTATTCCATTCGATTCCTGAGGAAATTTGGGTTCCGTATAGGCAGATGGACGGCTCAGAATTGCGTTTTTCCACTTCCTACACCCTATACAAGATGAATTAAATTAATTTTTTTTGGCATTTTCGTTTTTCGCGATTATCTCGGAAACTATGAGAGATAGAGCCTTAAAACCTATTCCATTCGATTCCTGAGGAAATTTGGGTTCCGTATAGGCAGATGGACGGCTCAGAATTGCGTTTTTCCACTTCCTACACCCTATACAAGATGAATTAAATTAATTTTTTTTGGCATTTTCGTTTTTCGCGATTATCTCGGAAACTATGAGAGATAGAGCCTTAAAACCTATTCCATTCGATTCCTGAGGAAATTTGGGTTCCGTATAGGCAGATGGACGGCTCAGAATTGCGTTTTTCCACTTCCTACACCCTATACAAGATGAATTAAATTAATTTTTTTTGGCATTTTCGTTTTTCGCGATTATCTCGGAAACTATGAGAGATAGAGCCTTAAAACCTATTCCATTCGATTCCTGAGGAAATTTGGGTTCCGTATAGGCAGATGGACGGCTCAGAATTGCGTTTTTCCACTTCCTACACCCTATACAAGATGAATTAAATTAATTTTTTTTGGCATTTTCGTTTTTCGCGATTATCTCGGAAACTATGAGAGATAGAGCCTTAAAACCTATTCCATTCGATTCCTGAGGAAATTTGGGTTCCGTATAGGCAGATGGACGGCTCAGAATTGCGTTTTTCCACTTCCTACACCCTATACAAGATGAATTAAATTAATTTTTTTTGGCATTTTCGTTTTTCGCGATTATCTCGGAAACTATGAGAGATAGAGCCTTAAAACCTATTCCATTCGATTCCTGAGGAAATTTGGGTTCCGTATAGGCAGATGGACGGCTCAGAATTGCGTTTTTCCACTTCCTACACCCTATACAAGATGAATTAAATTAATTTTTTTTGGCATTTTCGTTTTTCGCGATTATCTCGGAAACTATGAGAGATAGAGCCTTAAAACCTATTCCATTCGATTCCTGAGGAAATTTGGGTTCCGTATAGGCAGATGGACGGCTCAGAATTGCGTTTTTCCACTTCCTACACCCTATACAAGATGAATTAAATTAATTTTTTTTGGCATTTTCGTTTTTCGCGATTATCTCGGAAACTATGAGAGATAGAGCCTTAAAACCTATTCCATTCGATTCCTGAGGAAATTTGGGTTCCGTATAGGCAGATGGACGGCTCAGAATTGCGTTTTTCCACTTCCTACACCCTATACAAGATGAATTAAATTAATTTTTTTTGGCATTTTCGTTTTTCGCGATTATCTCGGAAACTATGAGAGATAGAGCCTTAAAACCTATTCCATTCGATTCCTGAGGAAATTTGGGTTCCGTATAGGCAGATGGACGGCTCAGAATTGCGTTTTTCCACTTCCTACACCCTATACAAGATGAATTAAATTAATTTTTTTTGGCATTTTCGTTTTTCGCGATTATCTCGGAAACTATGAGAGATAGAGCCTTAAAACCTATTCCATTCGATTCCTGAGGAAATTTGGGTTCCGTATAGGCAGATGGACGGCTCAGAATTGCGTTTTTCCACTTCCTACACCCTATACAAGATGAATTAAATTAATTTTTTTTGGCATTTTCGTTTTTCGCGATTATCTCGGAAACTATGAGAGATAGAGCCTTAAAACCTATTCCATTCGATTCCTGAGGAAATTTGGGTTCCGTATAGGCAGATGGACGGCTCAGAATTGCGTTTTTCCACTTCCTACACCCTATACAAGATGAATTAAATTAATTTTTTTTGGCATTTTCGTTTTTCGCGATTATCTCGGAAACTATGAGAGATAGAGCCTTAAAACCTATTCCATTCGATTCCTGAGGAAATTTGGGTTCCGTATAGGCAGATGGACGGCTCAGAATTGCGTTTTTCCACTTCCTACACCCTATACAAGATGAATTAAATTAATTTTTTTTGGCATTTTCGTTTTTCGCGATTATCTCGGAAACTATGAGAGATAGAGCCTTAAAACCTATTCCATTCGATTCCTGAGGAAATTTGGGTTCCGTATAGGCAGATGGACGGCTCAGAATTGCGTTTTTCCACTTCCTACACCCTATACAAGATGAATTAAATTAATTTTTTTTGGCATTTTCGTTTTTCGCGATTATCTCGGAAACTATGAGAGATAGAGCCTTAAAACCTATTCCATTCGATTCCTGAGGAAATTTGGGTTCCGTATAGGCAGATGGACGGCTCAGAATTGCGTTTTTCCACTTCCTACACCCTATACAAGATGAATTAAATTAATTTTTTTTGGCATTTTCGTTTTTCGCGATTATCTCGGAAACTATGAGAGATAGAGCCTTAAAACCTATTCCATTCGATTCCTGAGGAAATTTGGGTTCCGTATAGGCAGATGGACGGCTCAGAATTGCGTTTTTCCACTTCCTACACCCTATACAAGATGAATTAAATTAATTTTTTTTGGCATTTTCGTTTTTCGCGATTATCTCGGAAACTATGAGAGATAGAGCCTTAAAACCTATTCCATTCGATTCCTGAGGAAATTTGGGTTCCGTATAGGCAGATGGACGGCTCAGAATTGCGTTTTTCCACTTCCTACACCCTATACAAGATGAATTAAATTAATTTTTTTTGGCATTTTCGTTTTTCGCGATTATCTCGGAAACTATGAGAGATAGAGCCTTAAAACCTATTCCATTCGATTCCTGAGGAAATTTGGGTTCCGTATAGGCAGATGGACGGCTCAGAATTGCGTTTTTCCACTTCCTACACCCTATACAAGATGAATTAAATTAATTTTTTTTGGCATTTTCGTTTTTCGCGATTATCTCGGAAACTATGAGAGATAGAGCCTTAAAACCTATTCCATTCGATTCCTGAGGAAATTTGGGTTCCGTATAGGCAGATGGACGGCTCAGAATTGCGTTTTTCCACTTCCTACACCCTATACAAGATGAATTAAATTAATTTTTTTTGGCATTTTCGTTTTTCGCGATTATCTCGGAAACTATGAGAGATAGAGCCTTAAAACCTATTCCATTCGATTCCTGAGGAAATTTGGGTTCCGTATAGGCAGATGGACGGCTCAGAATTGCGTTTTTCCACTTCCTACACCCTATACAAGATGAATTAAATTAATTTTTTTTGGCATTTTCGTTTTTCGCGATTATCTCGGAAACTATGAGAGATAGAGCCTTAAAACCTATTCCATTCGATTCCTGAGGAAATTTGGGTTCCGTATAGGCAGATGGACGGCTCAGAATTGCGTTTTTCCACTTCCTACACCCTATACAAGATGAATTAAATTAATTTTTTTTGGCACTTT